TAGACAAGCCAATCATAAAATGTAGAATTTTGAAGAAAAAGGGCAATTTATTCTATTAATCGCTCCTTTTCTTTAAATAAAAAAAATGGTCTGTAGTTTCCAATTTACATTTTTGCTCATAAACGTCCCATCAAGACTTTTTTGTGTAACAAATTATTTAACAGGAAACAGTTTGAAAATTATAACTATCAATTTGAACTATATTCTCATAGGCAAATATTTCCATATTTGCCTATGAGACTTTTTTTCATTAAAGGGAAAAAAAAAAAAAAGACAGCTGTAATTTTTTCTGTTAATTAAGTTTCAATGATTGTAAATTCATAGTAATGGTTTTTGTTTAATCAATCGATTATTGTTAGTCCTAGAGTGAAGTAATGCGCTATTCTTGTTTCCATAGCAGCAAGCGGTCTCAGACGTTGTGGAGGGGGGAGTTCTCATTGTAGACAAACTATATTTGGCTGGTCATGACATGAACCGCTTATTCCTCTCAGCAAGTATATATCAAATTTGCAAGGAGCCAAGTGACTTAATAAGGCCTTTACCACACAACCCGCTAATGTACTACAGTATAGAACCCGTTATCCGGAAATCAGAAAACCGGAAAAACTCAAAAACCGGGACGAAATTCGATACATTTTCCCGCCATTTAAAAAAAAATTATTTTTTTTCCTCATAAGATTTTAGGATTTTTTTTTCTTTTTTGAAAGATGTTTACCTTACCATCATTTTGGAAATAATCATTAGTGTATTACTTCATCGTTTTTTCTTCTTTTTAAGATTATTTCCAAAAAAATTTTTTTAGTTGGGTTTAACAATAAAAAAAAACGGCTTTTTGTAGAGATTCAGAAAACCGGAAAAATCAGTTATCCGGAATAGCGATGGTCCCGATCGTTCCGAATAATCGGTTCCCTACTGTATTGTATAATCTTTCCCCAGATTGCAACAAAGCAAGATAGATTCCAAATTATACTTTTATTGATCAAAGATGTTAATGAATAACAACATTTAATTACAATAAGACACATTTTGAAGAACATACATAGTTTAGTTTCATTGTACATATACAAATAAGATATTTATATAAAAATTATTTACACAAAATTACAAGGAGGTGAAGGAAATATAAAACACAAGACAAATCCATTGTTCAAGTTTGATATTTGGCCAACATTTATATACACAAAATTTTAAAAATGAAGCATTGATTGTACTAGAATTTATAGTATTTAGAAAGTATCTTTACAAATATATATATGTACATGGATTGCGTACAACCAGATGTTAAGTGATAAAAATGCAGTTCTCAAAGATTATCTTAAGATAAGAGAGAGGGAGAAAAGAGCCCTTATTAGATCAAATAGTATCTCATATATAAAATGTAGGAAAATGTATGGCATAGTTCATATGGGAACATTCCAATTATTAATTGTAAAATGTGATTAATCTGCATTCGTTTAAATTGTATTGCATTTACAATTATCTTAGCATTTTATTTCAAGCTGGAAAAATAATAAATGCTTTAAAAAGGAAAAGGTTATCTGGGTGACACAGACAAAAAATAAACTATAATATATAGCATTATTATAAATAAGGTTCACATTATAAGGGTTATTATTTACAATACATCAGTAAAAATATAGAATTTATTTTATTTTGTGAAATAACATTTAACAAATTATAACATAAAAAATGTCTATGATAACAGAGTTTTAATTTAAACACATCATTTAAAAAATTCAAGCAGTTTTTCAAGGAAAGCAAAACTTTTCCACTTCATATAGCTCTAAAATGCATTCCATTGGTTTAAATTAAGTAAAATTTGAACTGCAAATATATCATATGATCCAATTTAAATTTTAGTGAAAAATTCTGAAGATAAGTGGGGCTGTATTGCAGTTAATTTATTTAACATGCTTTATAAATGTAAATAGTCAGTATGATTATATCAGTTCTGAGTAACTAAGAAAATGTACTGATCACACCGGCAACCAAGCAACACATATATCGCTAATAGTGAAGTCATCTATTCAGGCTTAAACGACTAAATAAATTTAATAAATTTCAATGAGGAAAAAAAAAACATTTATTATATTAAAAATGAAATAAAAAGCTAGAATGATAATGTTCCATCGCCACAAAGAATAAACATTATTTAATAGAAAATTTTCTAGGCAATTTTTTCGTCTTTTTTTGTACAATTTTAGATAGACAATAACTTCTATTTAACATAAATAAAAGATAATTTTGTTATTAAGCATAACCTTTATGATCTTTATTGATTGGAAAATTTAAATAGATGGTTCATAAAGTATTTAGCAATCAATAGCTTTCAAGTAAACATTGATTAATAAAAATTTTCTGAACAATTTTTTCACATAAATATAACTTTTTTTTTTTCTTTCCTTCTTTCTTTTTTTTTTTTAAAAAAATTTCTATTTTAAATTTATTGTATTACTTTTCTTTGTCGCCTGGACAGAATTTTCCTCTTGACGACGAATATATATTCTTTGTATTTATGTGTTTTTGTTCTCAATAAAGTTATATTTGTTTGTTAAAAAAAAAAAATTTTTAGATAAGCTAGAATATAATTGATAGGAATAGTTAGATAAACGGTACTTAAAGCTTATATGAATAGTTTAGTTCCCACACAGTATACATTGTAAAATAGAAATTTCCTTGACAATTTCTTCTTATTGTACTTAATTTTAATAAAAAATAAATTTTATGGCTATTTAATATTTATAAATAAAATAAATTAAAATATAGAGCCCAGTTAACATTAAGATAAATTGTTATAATAAAATTATAGTATGATATGATGCTTCCAAAATTTTAACACACACATCTTACACCAACAAATTTTAAAAAAATTCTCAAAAATTTAGGATATGCACTATTTTTGTTCCTTTTATTAAGATTCTTAATTTAAAGAACAACCAAGCTTTGACGGATTTGGTATTATAATGTTTTATACAACAACAGTACACATTTTTATTTTTTATATGGCACACTCAGCAGCAGAAACCTTTGTATTGATCTGCAACATCATGGAAAAGACTCTAAAATTTATCTGCAGTGAGTTTGTTGAAATATTTATGTTAAAATGTTGCACTTTATAGGTCTAAAAGTTTTAAAGATTCAGAATGTCTAATATTACTCTACGTTATGAAATAGCTGCAAAACTCAAATGAATTACTCAATTGAAATTTTTTGTTGTTGTATGAAATTCATTATAGAATAAATAAAAATTAACATTAAATTTAAAATGAAAAATATTCTTGGTGACAATTGTTTCTAGCGTATTGAAATAAATCAGTATTACAAATAAAATATTTTTATTTTAATAAAAAAATAATGATCTGTTAAACTAAATAAAAACATTCCAGAACTTATTGTACTAGAAATTAAAAGTTCTACCTCAAATAAGATAATATTGCAATTCAATTGATATGCTAAAACCTAAAACATAATGTAAAGAAAGTTTATCAAATTTTCTGGAACCCTGAAATCAAACATTTTTCCAAAATTCCCCCCCTCACACTTTTAAATTTCTGTCAAAAACCAGCCATAGTATATTATTGCGAGCTCTGCGAGTTAAAATAACAGGAATAATACAAAAGAAAATATTTTTCCAGTTCGTCTTAATTTTGCATTAAGTTTTTTTTTTCTTTTTTGATTTTACAAAGTTAAGGTACTTTTTTTTGTCTTCTGGGCCAAAATAAATCTACATCGCTTTTCACCGTAGCATGCTATTTCTGCTTCTAAGATGGTAATAATAAAAAAAAAAAATCTGTGTTTACATTTAAAGCATTTTTAAAAGAAGATGATTTTTATTACTCTCTTTTTTAAAATTAATTGGAAAAGGTAACGAAACAGATAAAAACAAACACAGTGTATTTTTATCCACAGAATTTTAGCACAATATATATGAACACAATAATACAAAATTCACAATATTTCAACAGTAATATAAAATATTATTAAACTTAAAAAAAAAAGAAGTTAAAATTGCTCACAAGCATGAAAACTCAACAAAATAATTTAGATAAAAAAAGATAGTACAAAATTAGGAAGTATAAAATAATATAATTTTTAAAAGAAATGAAAACTATGAATTTCAAAATGCATATGTAGGATTCATACTCAATTTTTAGGGAGAAATTTCCTGACTCTCTCAAACAACAGTTTACAATATAAGCAATAACACAGTATATAAGTTAAGAACACATATTATGATAGTGGGACTACCAACTTCCATTCTTTTTGAGAAAAATTTTCTAAGTGGTAGCGAAATTTACGTTTGAATGTTTTATTCTTTGTTTCATAAATTTGATTTAAAGTTATTTTTTAAACCACTACATGCAAATGATTAAGAAGAGCATATGGAATGCCACTATGTAAAACTCTCGAGGTAAATTGTGATGGCAAGTCTTCGGATTATCCATAGGGATGTTTCCCAGACCATTGTGCAACTCTAGTGCGACATACATGTACTACAAGAACTACAACTACAATAACTCTTGTGGTAAGGCTTGTTAAATTGTAGGCAATATTACTAAAAAATCTAAAAGCTTCAGTTTTTAACTGTTAACCACCCTGTTAAGACCTAGCAAAAAGCATGGTAGTTGGCAGCCCTGTTAGTGCACAAAACACATTAATAAAACTTTAAAAAGTATGAAAAATAAAAGTTAATGTACATCAATACAAAAACCTTTCTTTAAGCCTTCATTGCCATGGGCAATCAAAAACACAGACATTGAAAAAGTTTTAATTTTTCTCAGGTTTTTGGCAAACATTTTAATTTTTCCAGAAGAGTATGAGCATTGACCAGCAAAAGAACATATAATTTTTTTCTTATTTAAAACTCATTTAAGTAAATAAAATTGCTTCATTGTATGAACTAATTATCACTTAAATTGCTTATAATTACTTATGAGTAGCACTTAAGAGAAAAAAATTAAGTTTAAAGTACTTATGAACAGCATTTAGAGTGACAATTCGAACATTTGAGTAAAACTTAAAAAAAGGACAATTCGATAATTCTTTAAAAAAAAATTTCAATAATAAAAAATAGTTTAATGCATTAATGAACAGCATTTAAAAAATTACCATCACATTGAAAAAGAAAGTAAATAATAGTAAAATTTAAAATGCATATGAGCAGTACTTATAATGAAAAAAAAAATAAAAATTAAGTTCAGAGTACTTATGAGTTGCTTTAACAAGTGACTATTCAACAAAATTTGTAAGAGCATTTAGAAAAAATTGCAATTCAAAGTACTCATGGGCAACACTTAAAAATGACTATTTAAAGGAATATGGCTAAGACTTGAAGCAACAAGAAAAGGACACACGCACACATGATAGTTGGCTTGAAAAAGACATGTCAAACCTTTAAGATCACATAGGAAGGTGAATAATGGCAATTAATAAATATATCACAATGCCAGCAGGCCTTGGTTAAAGTCTTACGATCGCAACCATCCACCGGTACCATTTCTGCAAAAATAAAAGTTAATTTCATTAAAAGGTGCATTATCAAACATTTTATAGCTGAACAGTGTGTTATTAAATTCTAATGCAAGGTTTCTAATTTTTTCTACCTAAATGATCAACCTTCTTTTGGCAGAATTCTGGCATACTAAATGAAGTTTATCAATATTTGTGGCATATAACCAAAGAAAGACTACTAACTATTTTGAAATGATTTACTGTGAAAAAAATGTTTTTGTCATTTTATCAATAATTGTTTTAAATAAGGTTTAATGACCAAATGATGAATTCGCTGGCCTAAAGCGACATCTTATTTATTTTTGTGTGTAAGCAAAAACTAAATTTTTTGTTATAATGAAAATAGGAAAGAACTGTTATAAATAGTGCGATAAGTCAACAGAGAAATAGGTTTCTTTATTTTTGAATTCGGTTATTTTACTTTTTTACTTATGAGAAACTAATCCACACTTTTATAAATGCATATTCTTTTCATAATATATTCAATATCTTTTCAAAAGAACTGTTTTTTTAAATCTTGTTTTTTTTCTCGCTGATATATATATTAATTAAGAGAAATAAATAAATAACCAGCATATTAAACAATGAGTGATTGATTGTATACAAATATAATTACTAGTTTCAAAAATCATTCACTGTCAATCAATATATCACTGCTTAAAAAGAGTCCTAACACTTGGAACCCATGTGACTCTTCTACAGAACTCTAGGTTTTGAGGAATAACTTTAGGGAAGCACTGTTAATCAGACGTATTTGCAACATTATAGATGTTTCAAAATAATCGAGGGATGCCTTACAGGTGGTTAGAATCTGCACACATTAAAACTAACAGTAATGGAAGTAACCTACAATTTAATATATGATTTTGACTTCTACAAATTATTAAAAGTTTACAATAAACACCATTTCTTTAATAACATGCTAATCGGATCATTAGTAATTTTTTAATAAACATTTAAAACATGCAACAATTTAATACAGGGTATGGCTATGTATGATTTCTAAATATTTGATATATATTTTTTGAATGCTTGGAAAACAATAATTTTCTTAAAAACTTTTTATTGTCAATTAAATATTCTTACTCTTTCTCTGTACATTTATTTCAATTAGTGTGATGTCAAAATTATATAATCTCCTTTTATGCCATCCCTTCTATTTCGTCCTACTAATGAGAGGTGTCAAAATGTGTTTAGGTTAATACATTTTACCATTTGTAATTTTAAACACTGTTTTTAGTCAATTTTAAAAATGGCAGTTGCAGTCAGGGTTGGCTTTTTGCCGGCAGAAACTGGCTTTTGCCATGCCAGTGGCAGAAACTGGTTATAACCAGTAAAAACCGGCCAAAACTGGCAGAAACTAAAAATACATCTAGTAATTGCTTAATGACATTTTGTTTAAGTGAACTGAAAAATGTAACTCATATAACTGTAACAAACTTTTTAATTCATTGTTTGTAAATATACATTATTTTGTTTACATTAATTATAAAGAGTGCAGTATATCAAATATTTATATAAAACAAATCGGACCCATTTCCTGAAACTCATTTTTCCTGTCAAGTTTTGACAACTACCCCAGCTGCTACATAGTGGTCCAGTTTTAAAAAATATGCAATAGATGTAAGTTTCACAAATCTTGCTTGTTCCTTGATGGCAATGCCTGCTACTTCTGCTGAACTTGAGAGAATCTTCTCAAATTTCTCGTTCGTGCATAGGCAAATTGAGAAATTGTTTAGGTTTAGAAACTGCATCAAAACTTGTCTTTTGTTATAGATTACTGCAAAGTGCAAACAATGTAGTATTAGATTTTGAATGGTGACAATTTTGTAAATAAATTGTACTTCGTTTAACTTTTAATTGTTTTTTCTATGAATTATTCATTGTATGTCAATCTTAGTACTTACTTTTATGTCATTTTCTGAATTTCTGCCACAAATGTGGCAGAAAAGGGTTTCTGCCATGCCGGTTTTAACTACTTCGGCAGAAACTTGCCAACCTTGGTTGCAGTTAAATTTTTCTAAAACTTTCTGATGTTAAAAATAAATTTTGTGTTTTTTATATATAAACCAGATAAACAATATTGCACTAAAATTTTTTTTTCTTATTTTTTTTTATTTTTATAGTTTCATACTTACACAGCTGGTAAGCTGAAGTCTTGCAGAGCTTGCTTTATAGATGAGAGTATAGATTTATTTTCTTCCCGACAGGTTTCTGAGCACAATACCTGAAGCCTGTTAAGATAAAGATCAAAATTTTCTTTTGATGGTTTCTCATCGAAGTTCGGAAGTTTAATTTGCTCTAGTAATGTTATAAAATTGTTCCTTAAAGATTCGTAATATTCTGTCAAGTTATGATTCTTCTGAGTAAGAGAATGATTGTCCTGAAAATATTACAATAACATGTTACACAATTAAATCATACAATGGTACTCATAACAAGAGAGATGCAAAAAAAAAAAAAAAAAAAAAAAAAAAAAAAAAAAAAAAAGATTGTGATTAAGAAATATAGTGCAACAAAAAAGAAATGGCTACCAGACACCATTTCCCCCCCCCATTGAAAATGTTACAAATATTACGAAACAAATATATGAAATTGTACATTATGAAAATGTATCCTATGCGCATTTTTTTATTTTCTAAAATGATATCGAATTATTATGAATATTTCTTAATACATTTACTAATTACTTTTAATAATTACTTTATTTCATGCTTGTTTCTTAAATTTTCTTCATTTTATAAAATGAACCTTGCAATGTTTACCATATTTTAAGAAATGCTTTAAAAATATGCTTTATAGTATTATAATCAAGATTTTTTTTTTATTCGTTTAAAACTTTTGATTTTTGAAAAAGTGGCCATTGTTAAGAATACTACAAATGGCCACTGTAAATTTTTCTAAGTTTGCCATAAACTTAAAAAAACAGTTTTCAAGGTCCATATTAACAAGAGTTAATTGTATTAACATTTAACAATTCTCCAATCTTAGTAAAAAAAAATTTAGCTTTAATTCAAATTTTTAAATCTTATTATTCTTAATTAAGAGCAACACAATACATCAGTTAACCCTTTCCTTACGGTGTTCCTGGTTGTACCTTCACATGTGGCCCACATGTACCAGCCGTAAACAAAAGGTTAAGTAAATATGAAAATAAAATTAAAAAAGTTCTCAGGTGTTATAGTACATTCCCTTTTTTATTCCCGAGCAAAAATTGCTATATTATTAAAACCGACAACTCATGGCACAATTGGATTGGATCAAAGTTACCAATTTTAAGAAGAGGGTTAAGTAAATAATTTAAACTTTTTTCCAAGCAATTTCTTTAAAAATAAATAAATAAAAAAGATCTAGAACTTTTATACTTTCTAGGTTTTTAGCAAAAATCTAATTTTTTAAGCTAGATTCAGGGATTTTAGTCCCAGAGATTTCGAAGTTCTTCCTAATGCATGTAAAACTTTTATTAAAAACCTTCCATAAGTGTATTAAATTACCAGTAAGGGGTCATCCTCAAAATGATGTCAAGCTAGAAGAGAAAGGGGTAACAAAAAGTGTCACATACAGTACTTTGCTTAAAATAAAAATGCTACAAATCCAACAGATTAAATATTTTTATATCATTTGATTTGTATTTTTTTTAATCTATTTTTATCAAAATAAGTACTTATTCGACCAATATTATTGTTATGGTAACCAGACATGTTTAATAAACAAGAACATGCCATTTGCAGAAAATTAGTTGCTATTGTGGAAAATTTTTTAATATTACTAAAAAGAAGAAATTTTTTTTCTTTCCATTTGCCACTATGTTGTTGTTCACCAGATGGATTGGAACTGGGACCAGTTCCATGGCCCCCTCACTCTCCTGATTTAAGCAGCATTGATTCATTTCTTTGGGATGTACTGTAAAGTAATTTGCATGCAACACCTGTGCATTCTGAAATGGATTTCGTCGGAAGAATCGCCTGTTCTGCTTGAGATATCAAACAAAATCCAGGTATATTTGAACGAGTTTACCAATCCATGGCGTAGGCAATAGGGGAAACGTTGAACATTTTTTGAAACAATTCCATATAATGTACTACCATAGCACATGTAATATCTTTGACAAATAAATATTTTAGATGATCTCAAGTTTGTGTCTATTTGTTTCTTGTACCTGTCACACTGCTTTTTTATTATGTTACTGATCATGGTCTGCTATACAATTCTGAATGCTTATGAATGGTCCCCCACCTTCCCGTAAAGTTTACCCAATAATAACAGAACACTCTGCATATATATATATGAATGAACAGACAATAATTTGAACTTAATGTGAAGAATTAGTGGTAGAAATAATCAGATAAAAATACCATTAAAAAATTAGACCTCAAGTAACAGAAGTAAATTATTCCAATTTATTAAATACTAAAAAATAATAATCTGAAGGAAAAAAAAAAGAGCAGAATTGAGTGGATTTTCCATTGAAAACACTTATAATTAAAAGGGAAACGAAGCTAATGTTCTTTTCAGAAACTATTAATCTTCAACTTCATTGCATCGCATCGAAATTTGTTTTTAACTACTTGTTTTTTTAATCAGCTATTTCAGTGCATTTACTGAAGCAAAAAAGATGTGCAATTATTATCAGAAAAGCAACAAAAAAAAAAAAAAAAAAAAAAAAAAAAAAAAAAAAAAAAAAAAAAAAAANCAGAAGATTAAAAGATTAAGTCAATATTTTTTAAGAATTAGATTTTGAAGGAAGACTCATCAATGAATGGAAACTTAAAATAAAAATATAAGTTTTTAATCCTTAAGAGATTATGGCAAAGAATTATTTCACCAAAGTAAATGTTGGTTGTAAAGAATCCAATCTTACTCTTTCAGTCATGCGAATATGGCAAATAATTATTTCACCAAAGTAAATGTTGGTTGCAAAGAATCCAATCTTACTCTTTCAGTCATGCGAATATGGCAAATAATTATTTCACCAAAGTAAATGTTGGTTATAAAGAATCTTACTCTTTCAGTCATGCGAATATGGCAAATAATTATTTCACCAAAGTAAATGATGGTTGTAAAGAATCTTACTCTTTCAGTCATGCGAATATGCTGCTCCATTTGGGAGATGTCTGTTCTTAATCTAATCATTTCTGATTCTACTTTGGCATTGTATTCCTGCAGCTCTAATATTTCTTCTTCCAAAACCCTTATCTCTTCATCGTTGTCCAGATCACCTATACATAAAGCATTAATATTTCAATAGAGATAACAATCGATTAAAAGATTTATAAAACTGATGGCAATTTAACTTATAATTACAATTTGCAAAACTTTTGCATCATTAGGTTAGATAAATTGGCTTATCATTTCAACTTTGAAATTGTTAAAATATTTAATGTCAACCATGTGGCAGATTACAGTGATATTGTCACAGTAAGTTGCAGAGTACTTGTAGAAAGATTGCTCATACAGGAAACAAAGATTCAATTCATTTGGGAAACAAATTTCTGTTCAATTCAAGATTTTCAGAAACAAAAGTAGAAAAAAAAGAGTAATTTTTCAGTTAAAGATTAATCCCTATAAAAAATTTAGACTTAAATTTCAAAATTAAATAAAAGTTTATTTACTGCTTTATTCTATACATGTAAGCCTTTTTAATAAACATAAAGAATTTCTGCTATTATAAACAGGTTACATATATATTTATAACAAACAAAAATATCTTGCAGAAAGATATAAGAGCTAGTAAGGACTGTCACAGAAAGCTAGATGATATTCTGCCACGGGTAATGGTGATACATTCATAAAAGCAGGAAGTGCCTTAAACCATTTACAACAACTATATAACATTTAAATAATAACAAAATATGTAACAACCTCATTTTTAGTTTATGTTGAGATCCCATTTAAGTTTTATATAAAAAACTGTTAATATAAGTAAAAATTATCATGAGTTACAACTCATTATAGCTAAATTTAGCTAAAGAACAGAGAAACAAGCAATTGATTAAATTTATTTTCAAACAATATGCAAGAGCACCATATTGTAAGGTTCCTCAGTTCACAGGTGATTAATAAATTCTGCAGTTTTATCTGAACGAAAGTGTTGAAAAAAAATCGCAAAAAAGGATTGCAGATACTGAAAAAAAAAAAAAAAAATATTAGAAGACATTTAAAAAAAAAAAAACCTTCATGGATGGCCAACAATATAAACACAGGTGGCTTTAGAGTCTGGGTTATGATTGCTGATTCATTTTCACACCAAAACTTAAAGAATTCACAGTCATGATGCAAATTTTAAGAGATTTATTTATCTATTGCAGAGCAATTCGATTGCAGACTCTGCAATGGAATATTTCTGCATTCAATATTTAGAATGTTATTAAGTGGAAAACAAAATAACTTCCTAAAAAAATAAATCACTGTTGAATCAAATAAATTAACAAACTGATAAATAAATAGACACCAAAAAGATATCAACTCATTCATTTTATTTACTGTTTCTGAGTGTTTTTTTAGTTTAATTTGAGTCTCATGATATGATTAAATATATAAAATTTTGAAAACTCGTACGAATGCTGATATATAATAACTAATTTTAATAACAAAACTTTCTAGAATATTGAGCTTCTTTCTTCTTAGCCTTATTAACATATATATTAGCAAAGGGATATACCAGAAGTTTTCTATGATCTGTTCTAGTTTAAGAAAGCTTGTTGTTGTTTATACGTGGTAAAATCTCCATAAGGCCTTATCGAGGGTCAAAGTAAAAAAACAGGACTTTTGTTGGACAAAAGGCAGGCTTCAAATAATAATATTAATTTGCTCTACTTAGGTAAGTAAGAGGCACATTTTTTTTTACAAAATAATAAGATAATGCACTTTACTTTCATACCAACATTTAATTGTTTATAATCAAGTACTTCCTTAACCAAGTAATTTTAAAGTAAACTTTTAATCATCTTGAAATAAAAATACACTGAATATGCTAAAATAAAGAAATTTAGATTGAAAATCGAAATCTTCTGATTCTTCAAATTGAGTATTTTAAAATCTGGATCATTAGCAGAAAATAGGATGTCTTGCTGGAATCACAATACACAAAAATCAGAACAAAAATTTTAAAGTCGTGACACATAAGGAATGAATATATATATATATATATATATGTAACATGCGAGACTACAGCCTCTCTGTTA